GATCCCTCCGCCCTTTTTTTTTTTTTTTCTTAATGAGCTCTGGGCCTGACCTTGTAGACCTCCTCCTCTAGTTTCCTCTGGGGGGCCTTGCGCACCCCTCCTCCGCAGAGCGATCGTGGCCCTCCATCTCCTGGAGCGCGCTCCGACCGCCCGCGTCTCACTCCGGACGGCGGCTCTCCCGGGAAGAAGCCTCTCGCTGTAAAGACACCTGAGACCACAGGCCCTTGTAGTCACATTTAATAAATACATAAGGCAGGCAAAAAAAGAAAACAAAGCCACACTAATATTAATACAGGCGCATTTACACTTCCTGTGCTGCAGGGGGTGGCCCGTACAGGGAATGAAGCGGCCTGTTCGCACATAGATCGTATCGGCCGGATTTACAGCCTTGGGACGGTTTCATTCCCAAGTGCAGAAAGTTACAGCAAAGCTTTTAATTTGTAAAAATAATCAAAATAAACCAGGAAACCTCTCCACACCAAAATCGACACTGAAAACAATGAAATGGATATAAATAGAAACACAAACTCAGCGGAGGGTAAAAGACATTAAAGTAGCTATTTCCTTGCTTCAATCAATCAGCCGTGTGCAGCACATGTATGTTTTTGCCGTGGACGCCGCAGTCCACCGTGGCCCACAGCCTGGAGTGAAGATGCAGGGACAGTTAATGGTGTCACTGCAATAACAATAAAATGTCATCAATCTGTGCAGCCTCCTGCTTCTGTCATACCAAGTTTGTACAGATTAATGACATTAAACCTCAGTGGCGGGTTGAGCTCTTAAAGGGACAGCCACTCCCGTAAGATAGGCGATACGAGCGGCACCGGACCCGGCCCCGTGCTGCTAGCCGAACGGGAAGCAGATGGCGTGGCGTAAGCGTAGGCTGGGGCCGCTGGGAGCCGTCGGACGGACGATTACGCAGATACTTGGGCGGGGGGGTGTTGGGGGTCGACAGATGACTGTTCAATTAGAGAGGGCACTTCAGGGTGGAGAGATGGGATGGGTTAGGAGAACCTGAAACCAGATGCCAGACACTTAAAGTTTCTGTGTGGCAAATCGGCACTGGCCAGGAGTCCAAACGACCAGAACCGCCCCCACCCCCCATCCAGCCCCCAACCTCAGCAGCAGATAAAGTCGCATGAACGACGATGAAAATGCACACATTCCATACACACCCACACCTACACACACACACACACACACACACACACACACACACACACACACACACACCAGGATCGTGGGGCATTGACATGCGCTCATTTCGCTCCTGTTCGTTTGCGCCCATCTGCAGACCTGTCAGTGATAGATCATCTTTAAAGGGCTCAATCGATAGCCCCGCTGAGCGCTGCTCAGGAGAAGGTAGGGCGGCCACCTCAGACCCACAGCTGGATCTATAAGCAGCCCCTAAAATCCAATACCTCCCCCAGCACCGACCAGAGGGTGAAGCCTTTTCCGAGGTGGGGCGGGCAGGAGCGAGGATGCCCCCACCTCACACGCTGTAGCAGGGGCTGGGATCAGGATGCCACAGCCTTTATGGCCCCACTTAGCCTCCACTGCGGTTCCTCAGGCTCCAAGACTCTCAGAGTTTGACAATAAGGGATTAGGGCTGGCCGGTAACCACGGCGAAAGCAGGGGCCAATCAGGCTGCGGACATGAGGTGGGGGAGGGCGGCGGCTTGGCACGCTGGCACGCCATGGGACAAACGCGAAGATGAGGGCTGGAGCGACCAGCACTGACAAGCCGGACAGCTTTGCTCAGAAGCCCATCTCCATTCATCACCTTCCGGAACCTTCCTTCGCCCTACCCTTCGTCCCTGAAAAAATACTTCACTGAAAAGCTCCTTAACTTTGTCACAAAGGAGCCAAATAAAAGCCCATTACCAGCCAGCTTTAGTAGCAGGAGCAGAAGGACAAATTCAAGGCATGTCAGAGAGCTCCTGTCCCATCCTACATGGGTTTTTTTTTTCAAGCTTGAATGCGGCTAATGCTGCCACAGCGAGCCTCGAACCTGGAGGAGCAGCAGGGCTGCGGGGCCCCCTTAGTCAGATGTGTCATGCTATAAAGGCCGCCTCCCAGCACGTGCGTGAATGGAGGGGGGAAAAGATTGGTTGCCTAGGAAACACTCCAGTCCTGGTAATTATTACTGTAACTATCTCTGCACACCCCACCTATAATAGAAATGGATCATCAATTATAATCACTGACTGGCAGCCTTCCGTTGGTGGCACCGCTCACTGCTGCCATCTGCTGGGCTACAGAGGAGAGGCGCACTTCTCTCCATCTATCACATCGCTCTGCATTGCTGGCCTCGCAGAATGACTGAAGCACTCGATCCTGGCCACCACCGCCTACAAAATTATACATTTTATTATTTACATTTTTTTTTTATAATTCTTTCTAATAAGTATTCTATATATTAAATATTTCCACATATATTTCACCTGTGTTGAATTGAAAAATACCTAAAAAATATATATAATTTTTCTTTAGTTTTTCTTCTGCAAATTAAAACTGCATGCATGCACAAACACACACACACCAACATGTACAGACATGCACACATCACATATTTACAACCCTAAAGCACATGAAGAACCAACCAGAGGAAATGAGATAATCATCGATGCATGCGTCGACTTTGTCTCATAAAACACACGGCACACTTCTATCTCCCTCCCGGGCTGACAAGACACTTTTGGTATTTTTACCAGGTTAACTTTAGACAGCAGAGTATGTGGCAAACGAGCCCCGTGGTAAACGGCCAGATAGAACCCAAACACGGTGGATTCAAACTCCATTTACTTTTCCGAGAGACTGAATTTGATTCGGAGACTCTAGACTGGAGGCCAGTTCCAGCCTCCCCAGTTACAAGCAGTCCTCTGGGCTTTAAACCAGTTACAACATGTAAACACCCCCCCCCCCCCCCAGCAGGTTGTGACGTGACACGGAGGACTGTCT